GAAAACTATTACGGGAGGCATTCATGTCCTCCTTCCCACCTCCGTGTGTCAGATTATATGTGATTATTCCTCATCTTGATTTGTTAATTGTGAGGCGTTAAATAAGCCACAACTAATGCTCTGGAAAAAGACATTTTGTAACACTTTAAAGTAAATTTCAAAGGCAACATTTCTATGCCTTGTTCAGAGTTTCAGCCATCTACCAAGCGTTTCTCCTCATGTTTGGAAACAATGAAGCAGGGTGGGATCTTCACTTCAGGCCATAGATGGGATGGGTGGGACTACCCTCTTTGTTCAGCCATGCTTTCTTGGCCAATTTTGGCTGCTGCTTGTTTAGCACCATCCCAGAAAGGTCCATGGTCCCATTCGGTGGAAGAGCTGCATGATGTGGAATCACAAGCAAGGTTTTGGAAAGACCAGCTGCTTTTCTGCTATGCTGTTTCCAGCATCAGCAACTAATGCCCATCTGAAGAACTGCCCTGCCAGGATTTCTCAGTAGTACCTTACCCACATTCCTTAGCTTTGAGGAGGAACCCCTCAGCCAGGTACAGAAGAGCAAGATCATCTCTGATGGGTGTTAAAATAAAAATCCCATAGAGGATTTTGACTAAGTCAAATCAGACAAATCACATTATGGCTTACCATACTGTATTAACCCAACCATCCAATAATTTCAAGTTCTGGGCTTATAAAACAGAATGCAACCTAGAATAGCACAAAAAGTTAATCCAGGATGGAATAACTAGATCTCTAGCCTATTGGCCAGATGCAGACTACAAGGCATATCTCTTGTAACTCTTTATTGGTGGTCTTTCTCAATTCATCTTACTTTGCCTGGCCTTGGAAGTAGTTGAAGATTTTAAAAAGTTGCCTGGGGTTCAGAGAAAACAAATTGCATCATTATATATTCTTTGCTTCTTCTGTTTCATTCTCCACTCTGGAGATGTCAGTCTTCTTCACCCATGCATGCCTTTGCTCACCACCAAACCACAGTTCTTTAGTCTTTACCATCTCCAACCCTTTTCCCCATCTGCAGAGGATCCTTCTCAGGTACTGCTGTACCTTTGTATTTGCTGCTTGAGTGTGGCAAGTTTGGCTGAAATTCCAGGGAAAGAGCTGCCAGCAAGTTTGCTCCTCCCTCCCTGAATCTTGTGTCAACCTAGTGTACAAGCAGCTGCAGAATCTGCTGCTGACTTTGGTGGTTGTTTGGGGCCTTTTGTCCCGAGTTTGTTCCATTGGCAGAGAACTTGGACTACTATTTGCTTTGCTGCTCGGTGGGATTTTGGGGTGCACTGATGGGGGTGGGAAGAGATTGGCTGAATGTTTGCTTTCATGCTCATATAGTAGGATTATTTATTTAAATCAGGCCTGGAATATTGCTTTAACTTCCAACATTCTCACATTGGAATTTAGACCTTGTGCTGAAAAGAGTACCCTTTCATTATCACTGTGATCCAAGGCCAGATCAGAGAGGGACATGATTGCTATCTGCTCAGATTAAGAGGCACAAGAGCTACTTGTGAATTTCCACTTCATTCTGCTTGGTTGCTGAACTATTGCTGTAATAACAAACATGTTTGCTGACTTTGCTCATGTAAAAGTACTAAGAAAAAAATGACTGTTAATGCTATTGCATTACAACTTAAAGCTCCCCGTGCCTGTATAATTATGAACTTATATAATTAAAAGATTTCTCTCTTTAAAAATCAGAATGCAGTATAACATTATCCTCTGACAGAATGGTCAAGACAGGCAAAATGCAAAATATTTAAACGTGTTGCAGTTAAGATTCATGCCTGGATATGATTATTGCCCTCTTGGAGGACATTTGCTGGGACTGAATGGTTCACCCCTTCAGCTCCCACTAGACCTCTCAGCAGTCTTCAATATTACTGACCTTCTGGACTCCCTGCAGGGGTTGGGGCTTGGAGGCACTGTAGTGTAGGCATTCTGTTCCTACTTAAGTGTGTAGTTCCAATTGATATCTATGGGAGTAGAGGAGTTGTGCTCATGGTTACTCAATGTGGTCTCCATAGGGCTTGAAGCTTTTCCTGGTGATGTGTAATATCTACATGAAGCTGCCAGGGGAAGTAATCAGTCAGTTTTGGTGAGGTACCATCAGTATTCTGATGGTAATCAGCTGTAAGACTCCACCCTAAGCTGGACCAGAGGTGCTGTGTGAGTTCTGGCCAGGTGACAGGAAGTTGCCTGGTTGGGTCAAAATGAGCTCAGATTAAATCTTTCCAAGGTACAGTTGCTGCTTATCTGTCTGGTTTGATCCCAGTTACACCTTTGTCTGTATGGGACTCCCCACCTTCCCAAAGAAGCAATTTTGGGATTCTCTTGAACTTGCAATTCCTGCTAGAGCAGCAGATGGAGGTCATCACTGAAGGGGCCTTTGCCCAGTCCAGCTAGTGCACAAACTGCAAAGCTTTTTGGATTGAGACATCCTGACAATAGTGATTCATACTCTCAACACTTCTTGTATAGATAACTGTAACACACTCTACACAGGGTTGCCCTTAAAGATCATCTGGAAACTTCAGTTGATCCAAAATGTAGTGGCTCATCTGTTAAGGGAGTAGTAGCAGATTCAACAGTGTCGCATCTGTGCTGTGGCCACTGCACTGGCTATCAAATTGCTTCTGGAACCAATTCTGAGATATCTTCTTTCTCACCTAGATTTAGGCCACCAGATGCAGTCACTGAAGAAGGCTATGCTGAAGATCCCTATCCAACAGGATTGGCTCCCATTCTTTGGAACACCCCAGTAATGGAAATAAGGGATGTCCACACCTTCCAGCCCTTTAAGAATGTTTTAAAAGCCTCTGTTGGTATAAAAGCTGCCTGGGTTAGTTAGATGAGATTGTGGTTGCTATTTTAATGGTATTTTTCAGTTGTAGGCCACCTTGAGTTTCTTGTTACCTTGGTGCCTATAAGTAATTGTATAACTAAACAACATATAGCATATTCTACAGGAGAGTCATATTCACTTGGAGCAAAAACAACAAAAAATTACATGGCATCTTAAGGACTAATGACTTTATTATCACGAGAAATTTCCATGGACCACAGTCCCATGTTACCTAAGGATATTTCATTAGCCTATACAAATTGTACAACTAGATGAAGCTCTGACCCCGGAAAGCAATAACTATAATAATAAAATATAAACTAGTTGCTTATGCTTGTACTGTAGTTATGATTCCACTGGATCATATGATGTGGTAAGTTGCAATAAAGATCTTTAAAAAATCCATCAGCATTATGACAAGATTAGTACTCATTATAAGCCATGAAATTCACCCATGGTAAAAAAAAAGTGTATGCGGCTCTGTTCCAAGGTTTTATATCTGTAAGAATGGCTGATATGGATGCAGTGTTCTTCCCCCGAATGTAATGAAACATTCAAGGATATTTTTGTCCCATTGGGTTTAAAGCCTAGAGTCTGAATCTCAGAAGATTTCGTAGGTTCCCGGTTCTCCATCTTTCATATCTGAAGTCCTACCAATCCTTCCATCAAAGAACTTGAGTCTCACCAAGTTAGAAACAACAATCCCACTTTATAGTTACTATATGTTTTAAGGACATATCAAAAGTACTAATATTGTTGAAAATAATGTTTACTGCTACAATTGTAGAACAAAGGCAGCTAATTAGGGCTGGCCTTAGTGAGAGAATCATCCCTTGAACACACATCAAGGAATACCTTAAAAGAAAGAGAGGGACAGAGATTGCTAACCAACACAAAACATTATTTTATTTTCTAACCTTTCTGACACTATTCCAGTTTTCACCTCCAGGAATGATACTAATTTGCTCAGTTCTCTTTGTTCAGCCAACTTCTGTTTTGCCCTCCTTCTCTCCTCTTTCTCATGGGGTCTTTCCCAATTTGGAAATAAATTATGTCCCATTTGCAGCTTTTCCCGGCTTGCATCTAAGTGCAAACAGCATCTTTTTTATGCCATGTTCCCATGACACTGCCTTCATCTCCTTCCCAGTTCATGAGTGAGACAGGCTTAAATCTTCCTTAGCTACATCAGTGTTAAAGTAGTGTTTTCTCACTTCTCCAGCACCATCCAAAGGCAGACTCAAGATGTATAGGATCTGACCGTAGAGAAGGGAAATCAACTAACTAGGAATAGAGGTGTCTGAAGCAGGATATGGATCTGCAATGGGGGCAGCAAATGTCATGCTGGTATAGTTTTATGTTGGCTCAGAGATGGAGAGCACCAGTTCAGCGGTGGGGAAAGGCCCTTAGATCTCTTCAGTGTACCACCAGTGGGACATGCAACACTGGCTGAGATACATTGTCCCAGGCAACTGGATTTCATAGTAGAAGCCAATAAAAACATGTCTTCTTGTAAAGGATCTCAGAGGAGTTATAGGAGAAAGCACACATTACAAACTGAGGTTTGTAAGAGTTTTCACTCATTAAAAATAATCTCATTATTTGATAACTTCCAGTGCAACCTCTGGCCACAGATAAATGAATCATTCCAATTCAGATTTCTTTGTTGCTACTGCAAGTGTTCAGAAACCAATCACATTCACCTCTATCCCATTATGCATATTAAATCTACATGATCATCAATTGATAATACATTTTATTAAGAACATGTCTTTATGTTCCAAATAACCATTAATTCAGAATCTGATTACCTGAATTCATTATGCACTTTCCTTCTAGGCCTGTTCAGGAGAGTTTCTTTTAAGTAGTTCTCCCCAAATCAATGATGTTTATATTTACTACACATTTTGGATGCACCTCCAAAGAATCTGGACATCCACGAGGCTTACTGGATACACATTAACCACACACTACAAAGCAATGCTGAGACTGCTCTTGGATAATTTAGCAAAAGCTCCTACAAAAAAATAATACAGCAGTTCTTTTCTTAATAGCTATTTATCCCAACCAGCCACAATTAATTAATTTAAGGAAAACAAGTATCTATAGCAATCCAGAAATTCCTACACAGTGCTTTAAAAGATTCCTAGATCATCCATCACACAAGCCTATGCTCTCATAACTTGGGGGCGGAGTGTCACAGACAATTATCACTTCATCCCGTGACGCTGAGCCTGGCTTTGGTGGAATGTTCCGAAACAAAACACTGTCAGAGGAACTGCGTCTTCGGCTGCCCTGCCCCTTGTGATTTTCATCCACCACCTGATATAAGGGCAGCCTGTTCTCCTTTGAAATCTGAGGCTGCATGTCACTGGAGGCATTTTCAGCAGGTTGGCAATTCAAAGCTTCCTCATACGTGGGAATACTGGTGGCCTCCCAGGTGCTGAAACAGAATCAAGACCACAAAGAAAATCAGTTGGGATGTGTGTGTCCTGAAATATTTCATTCTAAAACAAGGTTCACAAAGACAGGCATCAGCACTGTTATCCGTGTTAGTGGACTTAGAAGTTTAGAGGGGGGGAAAAGTATCTTCACTTTTCTGGTGTCCACTACAAATAATATCATAGATGACACCACAGCTCCAAAATTGTGATTATATATCCCTGGAGATAAGTCATGCTAAACATAAGGAAATTTCCTTTAGTCTTATAAAGGTGAATAAATCTGCAAGTTTTGCATTATCCTAAAATCTTTTGCATCTCAAGTTCTTTCTCTCCCACATATGGAAAAAAAATGCAAATATTAGTAAAATCTTATTGGAAAGAGACCAAATGAAATTCTCATCCCCTGGCACCAGCCAAATTCTATAAGTAGTAATAATTTGTCCTATCACCAGTGGGAGAAAAAAAATTGTGGCTGCCTTACAAGTTGTAGTTGAAGGAGGATTTTACAAATGCTGGCAACCCAGGTTCAGAATAAAAAAGATGGATGAATATACAGGGAAGCAAACCCAGGCTGGCAGAGGTATTATCTAGTCAGTTCCATCTGACTCATGACAATCAGCTGTTCAATTGCTGTACACATTACAGCTAAACCCCAAACTCACATTTTTTCCTCCTCTGCCCACATAACCTGGTTATCCAACTAGAGGGAAGGAAAACCAGAGTGCATCTGGCAGGAATTTCTATGCCCAGGCAAAGCCACAGCCCTGCCAGGATCACTTTCAAGACTTTGAAGACAGAGTGTCCAGGCAGAGTGAGGAAAATGTGAATTTAAGGGCAAATGCTTTCATCCTGTACCAGCAGAAAAACCATGATGCCTTTAAATTGGGGCTGCCCCAAAGCCCTCGAGGTGCAGACTGAATGGGTCAGTGTAATGGGCTATGAGAATAACCTTGGGGAAGAAGGAGGATGAGCTGCAGCCTCGACAACAGTCAGACAAGAGATATTTCAGCCCACAAAAGGAATGGGCTGGAGAAAGCATCTCAGAAGAGCCTTCCGTAGTTCTCAAGGAAAGGGGAAGGGGA